CTCAATCAAAACAAATCATTTAAAGAGATAAATATTTCAGAAATTGTCGACTTAAGTGAACCAGTCAGTACTGCTGACTTAAATAGGAATTAAAATTCTGCATAAGAAAATACAGGAATATCGATTTTACGAAAGGATAGAATTGTAATTTGAAACGAATAATTTACTGGGGATAAGAATCTGTAAAACTAGTGACTGAAAACTGAGAGGTATTCGTATCTCAAATATTTATTTATCCTCTTACCAAAGTTGAAAATGATAAGATATGCGCTTAGTTTTAAAGTAAATTGAACAAAAAAGATACAAATATTTAGCAACGCTTATCAACGGAACATTATTTAAACTAATGGCATTGCTCGTTAAGGTAAAAATGACCAAAGAAGAAGAATGAATGAATGAATTCTAATAAATAATCTTACTGCGAAGAGGTTAGGATCAAAGTTTTTATACTAAAGAAACTATTACGTTATTTCAAAGCAATGACAGTACTTTCTTTTACTTGTTTTTGGGCTCGAAAGGAATGTAAGATAAATTTTTAATTTATTGGAGCAAAAAAAATACTTAGCTCAAATCGCAGTAACATTATATTTATTAACAATAAATATTTATAAACAATCTATAATGCAGGATTTTTTTTAATTTATATTTTTTCCATTCGACAGTTGTTAATAGTAAATATTTTCATAGCTCTAAATATTAATCCATTTGATGCATATAGTATGAATTAATTTGAATAATTTAAAAACATGAACAAATACAGTTTTCATTATGTGAGCAAAACAAAAATTGGAGAACTTTAGACTCTTATGCAGCAGTACTTTTAGAAAATGTGACTTTTGAAGCATTAATATCCTTTATTTGTATTCTTCATTATTCAAAGACTTTATTCTTATTTGCATGCTTTGGTTGGTAAAAGTTTTTGGAAAATTTTTTCTTAAGATTATACTTGCAAGAATGGTGCTCAAATTAAAAATCATTTTGCTGTGCTTCATAACTAATTCAAGACTTGCTTGTTTGCTTAGTTATTCAACTCGAAGGACAAATTCTGAAGTTGAATAAAGCAACTTACTGCAGCAATGAAGCAGATTAATTAGTTTCCTTATTTCTGATGCTCAGTTTCTGTTATTCAGCTTTGTTTTATTACTTAACAAGTAAAAATTGTATAAAGTGGCATTAAAACGCAAAATAGTAAACGCATATTCCATAGTACACTTCAAAAATAAACTTGTTGGACAAAAAGTAATTCTCTGAAAATGTGAGCGATTCAAAATCTAATTGAGTTTTTATTTCAAGATAGAAAACTGAGATTATGCGTAATGCAGTGCATTATTTCCGCGCTACTTAGCATCAGTCAGTAACATGTTATTCTATTCAAAAATTTCTATCCTATTATTTCACTTTTTTGATTTAATATTATGGCATAATAGCCACTTTTGTCTTCTGCTCTGAGCATTTATTTACTTTTGCTTTTGTAATCGACGTAATTTGTTTTTTTAACCATTTGGAAGTATTTGGCTTCAGAGTAAAAGTAACCACAACGAATTAACACTCCGTGAAAATGAAAAAGTTGATAATTTTAAGTATAAGAAAATTAATTTTAACAAATTGAAATTACATCTTGACTGAGATCTTCAATGACTTATGGAATTACATGATCGTAAACATAAATAATTCATCGCTTTTTTCTGCGAATATTTTAGTTTTTAAAACATTAATGTATTTTTTGAAATAATTGAGCATTTATATTCGTATAAAAGGTATTTTTAGCAATATCTAGAATGTGGTTCAAAGTTTATTGAATAAGAAGGAGGAATATGAATTGCACTGTTATTATGGTCAAGTAAAGTAGGGTGTTTAATCGAAAAAAGTTTATTTAAAAAAAGTAGTGCGCTACAAATAGATATATTGGAAGAGTACGAGAGAAGCAGCTACGTTTTTCAGAGAAATTTTGTTAAAAATAGTTGTTGTGCAAAGATTTTACAGAATCAAAAGAATATGGAGTAAGTCAAACATATCTGCAATTGTATTTTAAAAAAAGTAAATTAAATTTGAATAAATGTAATGAAATAAATATAGTGACTAATATAGGCAAACGATACATTTTCATAATTTAAGCAGTTTAACTAATTATTTCAATTATTTCAGGGTAGTTTATGGATGACTGGTTTGAAGAAAATTCATAAATGGCATATGCATCAGAATATATTAGATGTAGAATTCTTTGAAGTATAAAAAATTTCAAAATGCTTCCAAAAAAATTGTACAAATTCTGTCAATTCTAAATTTATAAATTCCTTAATAATCGAATTTGTAATACATATAATACATATGAGAATTTTGTGAGTTAAAAAACAAAAAATAATTTGATGTAAAATCCAAGAACATGAAGTTCATCATTTTAAGAGCAATTTTTGCCATTTAAAAACTTTATATTCTTTTCCTCATATATTCATTGGAAATAATGCAATATTAATTTAGATAAAGTTTAAAATAATGCGAAAAATAGACCTTCACAAATCTTTGACTTTTATCACTTCTAAGTAAAATGTGAAATGAAACGATTATAAGTCATAGAAGTAAATACTTTGTGATGCGAAGAGGATCTCTCAGCTTTCGTGATTATTACTCAGCAAATATTACATTAAAATAAATAGATTAATAACAACAAACCTTTTTTGCCAATTTGAAAATGATGAAAACAAATTTCAGTTTATATAGTAGAGCTTATAAAAAAAGCTGTTAAGTGCATCCAATATTAAAAACATTATTATCTGCTATTACTGGCAATTTATTAGTATTGATAAAATCAAAAAGTGAAATAATGTAATTGTTGTAATTAATAAGTATGAGCTACACGCAAGAAAAATTGTTAACAAAATTGCTTATTCTTTAATTTGGGAGTGGAAAATTAAGCAAAAATTTGTTATTGGTAATGTGATAGTCCATATAAACTTTCTTATTTTGTAAAATATGGACTAATATGCTTTACCTTTAATCTTTCTTGTCATGCCATGACATCTTACAATTTTACGTATTCAAGATTGACACAACAATGTTACACTGCTATGTTGTATAATTCAAAAGACCACATTTTTTATGACTTTCAGAATATGTATTTAGAGAAAAATTTAAAACAAATCTACTTTGCTATCACAATTACAGAAACAACAGTATAGGATGAAAATATTGAAGTATTCTAAGTTTAGGCAATTACTTCATGATCATTAATCACATAAGCAATCCAAGAAAATAAACTGTTTAAGTAGTGTATGAAAATACCTCAACATTAATATTTACTGCAGTTTATATCTTATCAGATGAAGTACTCATATCAAATAGAAATACACTAAACATATTACATTTGTTATTGCCTGAACCAGCTCGCAATTAGAAATAATGAAAATATAGTTAAAATTGTGCCTATCAAATAAGCATGTTGATTTAATTTATTCATGCAGTACTAAGAAATACGATTATCATGTGGAATTTAACAACATCTTTCATCAAAGAAAATTTTTATTGGACAAAAAACAGAAAACTTTAAAAATTGTTCATTCTTACTAAGCTTAAAAATATTACAATGTATCAAATTAAAATTGCTTTTGTTCCTTTTTTTCAACTGACTTTTAAAAAATATTAAAAATGATTGGTCAATATTTTTTTAAATTTGTAATAATTTTTACATCTCACAACAAATTAATCCTTAACTAAAAATATCTTCTAGTTATCAATCAAAAGACTGAATCATCTTTGACTTACAAAAGTTCTTCCTGTTATTTGCTTTGAATAATTTTCTCTAATTTGCATATTGACATTAACAATTTTTACATTAAATAGTAAGTAATCTTTCGTTTCAAAATAATTTGAAATGAGTATCAGTTCAATCAAATTTAATTCGTTAAGGTATACAAAGTTATATTTTTGCTCTTAATCGAGCAAACGATTTATAAAACGCATTATGAATATAATGTACTTCTTCATATTCAGAATCATTGGAAAAACATACCCAAAATTGTTGTGTATAAAAAATCAATAGCTCTATACTAAATTTAACTTTTCAAAGTTTTAATTTTAAAATGAGTCTATTCAAATCGAAAAATTTTCCCTTAAAAATTTGATAACT